CTTGGCCCCTGGTGAGCATCCAGTAGTGATGGGTTTACTGGCAGGGTAGGGCAGGAGAGGCTGTTAGAAGAGGCACCCATCCCATCCCTTGCTCCTGCCACACACCCCATGATGCCCCTTCTCGCCTAGTTCCACGTGGACACGAAGGGTCGGGTGAACTTCGCACAGACAGAGCTGCTTATCCACGTGGTGAACCGCGAAACCAACCGTATCCTGGACGTGGACAGGTGGGTGGGCGTCTGTGCTCAGCCTGTCTTTCGGTCTGCCTCCCTGCCCTGGAAGTCGGACAGGGAACCCACTAAGGAGGCACGGATGACGCCATCAGGCCTGCTGTATGGGGGCTCTACCCCAGACGTGGGCAGGGCGGGTGGAGAGAACACGGTCTGGGTGTATGAGCAGAGCTCCACCCCCCTGAGCCTTACTCTCCCCATGTGTGAAATGGGAGTATTACAGCAATTGTGAGCAGCAGACAGGAGCTTGTGTGAAGGGATGGTGAACCCTGTTAAGATACAGAGCTATCCGAGCTGGGTGGGCCTTAATCTTGCAAGGCTTGGTCGGGGGTGAATGTGGGGGCAGGCTGGCCTGAGTGGGACGGGCTCTTGGGGAACGGCCGAGGATGGGAGCTGAGGCCCCTGCCCCTCGCCCAGGGTGATCCAGATGATCGATGAAAACAAGGAGCAGCTGAGGAATCTATTCCGGAACTACAACGTCCTAGACGTGCAGCCCGCCATCTCTGTCCAGCTGCCCGAAGACATGTCCGCCCTGCAGGTACCCCTGGTGACAGCGCCCCCACCGTCCCCTTGTTGCCCCGGGTGCTCTCAGCCACTCATGCTTGGCCCTGCTGCCCTAGATGGCGACCATCGTCCTGGCCCTTCTCCTCTTCCTGGCTGCCATGCTCTTCATCCTCATGAACTGGTACTACAGGACCGTGTGAGTGACCCCTACGTGCCCTGCCTTTTGAGACAGGCTGACCAGCCCCGCTGCTGGGACAGTCAGGGAGGCAGGCAGGGCCATCAGGCCCTGAGACGCCAGCCCAGCCGCAGCCTCCTTCACCGGCCCCTCTGCTTCTTTCCAGACACAAGAGGAAGCTCAAAGCCATCGTGGCTGGCTCGGCAGGTCAGAGGGCTGTGATGGGTGGGGAGGTGGGAGGGCAGGAGGGGCCCCTGAGGGCCTAGGGTGACAGCCCGGGCCCCATAGGGCTGGCTCAGGCCCAGCTCCCCAGCCGGGTCTACCCGTCCCCCCACACCCCAACCCTTCTCCTGCAGGGAATCGCGGCTTCGTTGACATCATGGACATGCCCAACACCAACAAGTATTCCTTTGACGGGTGAGTGAGAAGTGGTGTCCCTGAACCCTGCCGGGTGCACTTTGGGGAGACCCACCCAGGACCCAGCTGCGGTGAAGTCCCCGCTGCCTCTCAAGCACTGAGGCCATCATGGACTGGCTGAAACCTGGGGTGTGGGCGCCCCCTGCTGGGCCAGGTACCCCTCTCTCTCCACCGAGTTGGGCTCCCCACCCTGACTGGGTCCCAAGTTCCAGGGGGCGTAGGTTTTGGGCATCGGATACAGGGTGAGGACTCTGCACCAAAGCTGATCCAGATGGACACGTTGTCCTGGTTCTAGCAGGATCCTGAGGCGGGAGGACGCACCCACGGGTACCACAGGCAAGGGCCCTGCTTCTCACGGCCCTGAAGGCCCAGTCCTGTGAAAAGCACAACTACGGCCTGGGAAACGGTGTGGGGGTTAGGGGCGAGACTTCAAGGGCATCTGTCCACTCGAGCCTGGAGTCAACCCCACTCCCCACCTGCAGGGCCAACCCCGTGTGGCTGGATCCTTTCTGCCGGAACCTGGAGCTGGCTGCCCAGGCAGAGCACGAGGATGACCTGCCGGAGAACCTGAGTGAGATCGCCGACCTGTGGAGCAGCCCTACCCGCACCCACGTGAGCCCAGGCCTGGGCCGGGGCAGGGATGGGGTGGACAGTCAGGAGGGACAGGTGGAGGTAGCGTACGCTCTTTGCCATCGCTGGCCAAGGAGCTGGCTGGCTGGGCGGGAACCGGTCCACTGCCCTGCACGTGTGCATGCGCGGTCTACCTCAGCTCCAGCTAACGCGCCCCCTCTCTCCCCAGGGAACTTTTGGGCGTGAACCAGCAGCAGTCAAGCCTGATGATGACCGGTACCTGCGGGCGGCCATCCAGGAGTATGACAACATTGCCAAGCTGGGCCAGATCATTCGGGAGGGGCCCATCAAGGTGAGCCCTCCTCGCAGCTCCTGCACCCAGACCCCTGGCTGAGCTCGGACTTGCTCCAGAGGATGCAGGGAGTGGGGAGGATCCTGGGAAACAGCTTTCTCCACCTCTAGGGACTCAGCTAGACCTGCCCTCCACGGGGGCAAGAACACCAAGGCAGAGAGGGGCCAGGGCCCCGGGCTGATAAGGAGCTGCTTCAGCCTGCAGTGTCCTGGAGGCCGGGACTCTGAGACACAAGCCCACGTGGGCTCTGTCTGGCCGCCGTCACCAGGCTCTGCTCTCAGTCCTCCACCCTAGGATCAGACGCCCGTACATCCCACGCTCCCAGAGTGCCTTCCGTCACCCCCACCCGAGTTAGTTATGGGAGTGAGTGATGGGCGGGGCAGGCAGGGGAGGGCCTTGGTTGGGGGTTAACACTTTCCCTCCCCCAGGGCTCGCTGCTGAAGGTGGTCCTGGAGGATTACCTGCGGCTCAAAAAGCTCTTTGCACAGCGGATGGTGCAAAAAGCCTCCTCCTGCCACTCCTCCATCTCCGAGGTAGCGGGTGGGCCGGGAGCTGTGTGCTGTGCCCCAGCCCTGGGGGTGCGCGCTCTCTCTCTCTCTCTCGTTCATCCTCCTCGGAGTCTCTGGAGATCAGCAGCTAGGGCCCAAGACTGCACTAGGTGGGGGTTCAGAGAGTCAGACAGCGGGCTCTGCTTCTGCTATCTGGGCTCCACAGCGGGCTTCCCCAGGGGTGGGTGGGTGTTGAGGCAGTGTTTCTTAGACTTCAGGAGCCCCAGGAAGATACCTTTGAGAGGTGATATCATTTTAAGAAATTGGCTGTAGGGTCAAGTGGATATACATATTTATTTGCCTGCAGTGATATGTCAACACTTTAGAAAGTCAGACTTTATCTAAAAACCCAGATTTCCAGCTGGGCCAATATTCTCAACTGGAGTAGCTAAAACTGAACAGCTCCACACAGGACAAAAAAGTGCCATTTGTGAGTCTCTGCTCTACCTTATTAATCCCCTCCAGCTTCAACTGTGGACACTTTCCAGCTGGCCACAGTTAGGAGTTGATCCTGCTTAAGGCCAACGTGGTAACAAATCCAGATGCCACAACCACAGTCACAGGGTCTCTACAGACCAAAGTGAATACAGGAGATTTGAAAGATTCTCATAGGAAGCCCATGCTCCGGAGAACACATCTGTAGCACCAGAAGTATCCATGGCTCCCCTTTGTACCCAGTTCGAGAAACACTGCCACAGGCCGCACAGGCCTGCTGCGGCACGAGCCCGGGGTTCCTCGTGTGCAGCAGGGAGGCGACAGGCCCATAGCAGGTGGGACTCGGGGCCATCCACCTGCTCAGGGCCTGGCCCTGCCCTGAACATGTGCGGGTCCCGGCCTCTTGCAGCTGATCCAGACTGAGCTGGAAGACGAGCCAGGGGAGCGCAGCCCCGGCCAGGGCAGCCTGCACTTCTGCCACAAGCCACCTACGGAGCTCAAAGGGCCAGACGGGATCCACGTGATGCACGGCAGCACGGGCACGCTGCTGGCTACCGACCTCAACAGCCTGCCCGAGGATGACCAGAAGGGCCTGGGCCGCTCACTGGAGACGCTGACCGCCGCCGAGGCCAGCGCCTTCGAGCGCAACGCCCGCACCGAGTCCGCCAAATCCACGCCCCTGCACAAGCTTCGCGACGTGATCGTGGAGAGCCCCCTGGAGATCACAGAGCTATGACTAGATGGGGGGAGCCCGACGGGTACGAGCAGCCCAACCCCACCCCTCCCAGGGCGAGAGCAGGGGCAGGACCTCCGGGCGGGGGGGTGGGGGGGCCGGGGGAGGGCCCTCCCCAGGCAACTCTGGGCGCGCAGCCTTGGGTTGGCCCAGAAGCAGGGCCCACGTCAGCTGCTCAGATTCCACTTTTGCCAGACGCTCGTTCGGCATCTGATCTCTTACCTTCATAAAATGTTATTTTTTTAAGAAAACCAGACAGAAATGGTGAGTATCTAAGAACGAGGTAAGGAGGGTCACCGAGAGCCCAGGAGTCTGAGGATGGCCTCAGCCCAGGCTGAGCTGAAAGAGGCCAAGCCGGCCCCCTTCCCCTCCCAGCCCGCCTCACAGCACAGGAATCCAGCACCGGGGAGGGAGCCCAGAGCAGGCACACCCTGCCTGGCCTTGACTCTCTGACCCCAGTTCAAGTCCCAGTGCATTTCTGCCACATCCCTGGCCGGACATCCAGGTGGGGGCAGTGAGTAATCCCTGCTTCCCCACACAGACATGGTCACTGTCAGCCAACGGCATTCTCTCCATTTCACTGGCTTTCCAAACGTGCCGGGCTCATAAAACGACTGATGTTCCCTTGGGTTTTGAATATAGTGTTCGTGTGTATTCCTTTTTTAAATTAAGTTATTCCCTCCATATTCTCCCCTTGGTTTTGTTCAACTGATATGCACTGAACGTTTCTGGAATGGTCTGAATTTAAAAAAAAAGTCACAAGGAACCGGCAATTCACTCTGGCTCTGGTAAACTACCCGTGGGGCTGGGCCGGCGGGTTGCAGGGGTAAGGACAGGGCAGCTCTGGACCCACCTTTGGGGGCACTCCCCTGACCACTTGCCCACTGCTGGCCCCAGGTGTGTCAGGGGGGACCAGATGGCATTTTCTTTCTCTGGCCAAACGGGGCCATAGGACTGCTGGGCACTTACAGGTTCACGGCCTCGGAGCTCAGCAGCAGCCACTCTTCTGGCTGAGGTGTCACAGAAACACTCGGCCTCTGGTTGACAGACTTTATTGTTAAATCACAGAAATTTTAGTGCAAAACAAACAAAATTGGTAAGTTCATTTAATAGCAACTGCACGTCTTGCTGTCTCCTGGCAACTGGAAGTGGAGGAGAGGATGCAGCCAAACTGGAGAGAAGGCAGGGCGACGGCTGAGGCCCCAGGGCAGCAGCCCCTCTACCTGGAAGCCAGAGGCTTAGGAGCTTGTCATCCACATTTATTTGCAGGTCAGAAAAACCATCTACGGGGGGGGGGGGGGGGGGGGGGGGGGGGGGGAGGGGGCTGTACCGCCCAGAGCAACGGGGGCGCTGAGCAGCAGGGTGGACACAAGAGCAGGCATGACGCAGTCACCACTGTCCACACGCACAAAAGCAGGCCCCCAGGACCTCCACAAAGAGCTAGCAGGTTATATTCATGCAGGTTTTTTCCCCTCCCACCCCAAACCACAGAACTCCAAACACGGCATCAACCAGGAAAGAAAGACAGGAAAGCCGAATCAAAGGCTGACCCAACGGTAGCAAGCCCGGCCCCACCAGGTCTCCTGAGCGGCTGCTTCCAGCAGCTCTATTACAGTGAGAACCACATTGTTTGTTTAAAAAGCCTAATAATTATTCTGAGCCTCTCATATTTCCTATAAAACTGCCTCTGTCTGGCAGATCAGCAGGCCCACGAGGCGGGAAGGTCCCTGCTTAGAGCAGGCCTCCGGAGGCCTTAGCACCCAAGGCCCATGCAGGAGGACGGACAACCTCAGTCAAGAGGCTCTGGCTCATGCCCACAGCCAGAGCCCCGTCTCCTCCGGGTAACCACCATGCAGGGACAGACTCAAGAGACCTCCAGTGTACGGTATGTCAGCATCCATGTAGCAGGGAGGAAAGGGACACTGAAGCAGCTACGCCAGCGGCCTGCTGACAGCGATGCTAAGATGAGGGCGAGAAGAAAGGGACTGAGGGAGAGGGCTCCTATCGTTTTTATAACAACAAAGCCAACAGATCTGTGTGTTCGTTCCCCCAGACACAAGCAGGGAAAGATACTGCAGTTTCTCTAAGACAGACCGTGCCTTCTAGTTCCACACGTGACGCTTGCAATGCTCGACAGCCTGACAGGAGAGAGGAAACAGTTTAGTCTGCAGGTGACAAACGCTATCCCTGGCCCATGAGTGCATCAGCCGGCACCCAAAAGTGGGACCCGCTATCCTGTCCCAGATCAGCCGGGATGGACCAGATGCTGATAAAGGCCCGGGACAGCATCTCATTTAAACTCGGGGATAGTAGGTGGCTATGAGTTTTGGGGACTCATAAGGCAAGAGTCCAGAGCAGTGGATGAACAGCACCCCTGCAGGTAGGACCCAGGACCCCCTTCCTCTGGTTACACACCCGAGGCCCCCGAGGCAGAACTCCTCACCCAAGAGTCAGAGGTATACATCAGCTCAGGCCAGCTCAGAAACGGGCCCGGGTACCCAGGAGAGCGACAGAAATGCACTCCACCACTGACGGTGCTACAGGGTGAGGGTGCTGGGGCACGGGGCTCGGCAGGGTGGGCCTCACCCTCCTCCCTGCAGCGGCCCTGACGCCGGCTTACCGGTCATGAAGAACCCCCACGAGGAAGAAGTTGCACAAAAAGGAACATTAAGTAACAGAGGCTGAGCCGAAACGTCCCCACCCAGGAAAGCAGCACGGGTCACCCCGCAGTGGCTGCCCAGCCAGGAGCCAACTCCCGGGCCGTTCAAGAAGAGCTCCGCTGGGCCCTGGGTGAAGATTCAGGCCGGGCGCCAGCCAGGGCAAGAGGGACCCAAGAGGCATGAGGCCTCGTGCAAGAACCCGATGGGCTTTGTGCAATCCCTCGGGTGACCTCCTGCATATCTGACCCGGTCACCAGGGGGCTGAAAGTGGAAGCAAAGGACACTGCAGAACATCCACTGCCACCGCGCCCTCCTCAAAGACAACGATGCAGTGAGCCCTGCTTTTGCTGGTGCCCATAAGTAAGCCTAACTGCCCCTCTGGGCCTCAGTCCCCCTCCCCCACCCAGCTCCCCACCAAAGACAGGGTACAGCGGATTGCCAAGGAGCCTGTTAGAGCAGGTTCTCCCTCGAGCTGCCTGCCTGGCGGGGGTCCTGGGGAGCAGTTGCTGAGCTACTCACGTTGCACAGGGCTGCCGACTCCATGTTCTGGCACCAGTAGCTCGGGCCCCAGACACACTTCTCAGTTCCCACAAGAGGCTTACGGGCTGAGGGACAGGCTCCAATTTTCTATAAGGTCAAAGGAAGGGGGAAGAATTAGGTCTGCCCAGCTAATCCTTTTCAAAACTGAGATGATTATCAGCTTCTAGAAGCAGCTAGAATCAGAGCTCTAATAAGCACTTTCCAGAAAAGGCAGGGTTGCTGAGTCAAGTGGTGGGGCCTGGACGCCTGGTTCTCCCACACACCATCCCCAGACTCTGGCCCCGGCCCCAAATCTCAGAGGAGCCCTTCCAGGGTCCATGCAGCACCTCCCAGGTCACACTGCCCAGGAACCCATACCGGCCCAACGCCGCTTACCAGGCACACAAAGGAAGGGTCCAGCACGTCCACCAGGATCTCTATGAGCACGGGCTCGTACTCCGTCACAAACTGATCACACTGTTAGGGAAACAGCAATGTGGGTCTAGGTGGGCCCAGCCAGAGTGTGGGGCGCTGGCCATGCTCTTCTACCAGAATTCCTGGCCTTGCCAGCCCAGTGGGCCCAGGGCCTCCCTGCCCGCCCGGGTGACACACCTACCCCCACCTGCTCATGTTCTTCTCCCCCTAGTGGCTCCACTTGAGCCAACAGAGCACCTTTAAGAAAATCTCAGTGGAGTCCACGCCAGAGGCAGAAATGGCTGCTTCTCCCTCAAAACTTCAACCAGCAGCACACTCAGTGAGCTACCCAGCTCCTGCATGTCCCAAGCAGGTTCTGACATTCTGGCCGAAAGCAGCCCACAGCGTACCTGCTTCTGGTACGGGTCAGGCAAGAGGCTGCAGCCTTTCTCGAAGGCAGCAAGGATCTGCTCCTTCGTGCTGTTCTTCTCCAGGTTGTGCTCCAAATAGGTCACCAGCTTCTTGCACACCTCACAGAAGCCACCGTCCTTCCGTGGCATCACGTGTGCTACGCAAGAGAGCACAGGCTCAGTGCTGGCAAGGCCCTCCCTAACCCGAGAGGGGCCGGCCGGCCTCACGCGCACTGGGCTCACCGGTCAGCGCAGGCAGCCCCCGGCTGGAGCAGAGATGGAGCATGCTGCACACCAGCTCAGGGCTCGCCTCCTGCAGGAGGATCGACAGGATGGAGCTGCCGTAAGTGTCCACCACCTCCTGGCACTCCTCGGATAAGGACGAGGGCAGCTTCGAGCACACGGTGTCCAAAGCATGAATTATTTCTTCCTGAAACACAAGAAGAGAGGCTCATGTGAGAAGATGGGAGGCTGCGTGGGGTGGGAGAGACTCTGAAAATGCTGATGTGACCAGGGAGCCAACAGCAAGGTGCTGTTTTCTCCCTCAAAGGCTAGACTCCCGGGCTGGTGTCCCATACCCACAAGGGCCAAGCCCAAGCTCTCGGGCTGGGTCCTCCCACCAGGCCATTCTGGCTCCAGGGCCAGGAGCGTTTGCGATGGCAGCATTTCCCGAAATCCGCGTACCTCGGTCCTGTTGTTGTCAATCAGCTTGACCACCTCCTTCACCACGTACTCGCACACCTCACAGTAAATATCAGCCTTCGCCGGGACCGGATCCTTCTGTTGAAAGGGCAGAAGAACACTAACACTGAGGGCCTCGCCTCACTCCCTGGTCCATGCTCCTCTAAAGGAGTGGGGCAGAGGCCAGGACGGGCTAGCGTCACACAAAGGCCACTTCCTGCTGCATTCAGAATGGGGTGTGGCTTCCTCCCAGTGTCCAAGCCCCAGTCCCTGCTGCTCCTAGATGGTGGGAAACCTGTCCCTTTCCCCAATCCTCTACCACCACCCCAAAACCAGGAACAGAAGCAGTGAAACTGTCCCCCAACCCCAAAGAGCTGTCCATTCAATGTCCGTTTGGTTGCAATCGCCTCATCGTTCAGCATTCATTCTGGGGACGCGAGTGGGGGAGCAGAAAAGAGAGAGGATTCACTACTAGTCTACTATTTAGAAGACAGCGTTTTAAACATGTTTCGGGTCTGCTCTTGCGTTTCAAGTCTCAGCGCCTGAGACTGCTTTTCCAGAGCCTACCTTTGATAACACAATCCCGTTGAACATAATTTTCTGTGATAGTGGCAACATTCTCTGGCCGTGCCACGCAGTACAGCAGCCGCTAGCCACGAGTCTGCTACTAAGCGCCTGAAATGTGGCCAGTGTAACCAAGGAACCGAACTTTTTTCTTTAAATTTTAAGTATCACATGTGGCTAGAGTACAAGCTGTAACTCTCCATCTTCTCCAGCCACTAATTCAGTCAGCAAGGTGGGCCAGAGCCTCTGAGCGTCTCGACTGGACAGGAGGGGCGGCAGCAGCGCTTCCGACTCTGCCAGACACAACCCTTGTGTGGTCCACACAGTACACGTGCCGAGAGAAGACAACAGGAGGAGACGAGACAGCTAAAGGTCAAGTGACACTGACATGGAAAGTTCTGGAACAAGAAGTGCACACACGTGCCATGTGATAAGACATCACATAGGCTGGGCGCCTGTCCTGGAAACATCAAGTTTGTACCACGGCCACAGCATGGGGAAGGAGGTGGGCGAGGCCACAGAAAGCACATCGGAAAGGTTCGGTCGGAGCCGGGCACTGAAAAATGATTTCGAATGGTGTGCTAAAAACGTAGACTTGATCCCATGAGCACTAGGGTTTATGACCAAGGAGATAAATGTACGAGGGTAGGGGGCGCTGCATCAATTTAGGGGATACTGTAAACTAATGGTCTCAAACTCAAATACCTTTAAAAGCCAAGCAGGGAGGGCTTCCCTGGTGGCGCAGTGGTTGAGAGCCCGCCTGCCGATGCAGGGGACACGGGTTCGTGCCCTGCTCTGGGAGGATCCCACATGCCGCGGAGCGGCTGGGCCCGTGAGCCATGGCCGCTGAGCCTGCGCGTCCGGAGCCTGTGCTCCGCAACGGCAGAGGCCACGACAGTGAGAGGCCAGCATACGGCAAAAAAAAAAAAAAAGCCAAGCAGGGAGCCAAAAGAACGTGTGCCTTGTAGGGTGTGACAATGTGGAGTGGCGGGGCATCACAAAACCAACGGCACCAGGTACCTTTATGGGCTCCACCAGCTCCAGGGCAGGGATGACGTTCTCCGAGGCCACCTTGGCAGGCACCAGAGTCTTCATGGGCATCTCCTTCACCTCGTCACAGAACCCAACCAGCCCACAAATCTCCTTGGGTTGCTAAAAAGAGCACAGAAGCAGCAGTGAGAGACAGGCCCAAACCCACCACCCCCTGTCCCACGCTCTACACACAAAGTCGGGGTGCTGGAGGAACATCCTAGACCCAGTGTCAAAGCTGACTGCCCCCCAGACAGGCAAAGAGCCCACATTAAATCTAAAGGGGCTTGTGCAAATGCAGATGTACCAGTTCCACATGGGGAAGGAGGTCATGCAAAGCTCTGAAGAGTGATCAGACAGAACTGCTATCCGCTCCAGCCGGGGAGCACCCAGGGAAGCACAACTCCTGGCACCTTTCAAGGGCAATCGAATCAACTCCAAGGACACCTGGTCTGTTTTTCAGTTGAGCTGGCTCGCCCTCAGGAGGAGGAAGTAATAAGCTACATGTTCTTTCTAGAGGAAGAACTACGATGCCCATAAACTAACAGAAAGCCAAATGTGTTAGAAATAAGACCACACCGGATCTTTCAGTAGCAGGACCCTTTAAAATTATACATTAAGGGGAAATACTGGCTTTTTAAAAAGCCACATTCTACGTTCACAATTGCACACACACACACACACACTACAAACGAAAACCCAGTCTTCCCATGTCATGAATCTTTTCAAGTCACAAGGTCTCCAGATCCCCTTTCCCCTCCAGATACCAAACCACAGAAGAACTAGATAGTTTGGACAACATCTTGACCATTTCACTACGACAATGGCCAAGAGCAAGTGAAGTATACACACTTGGTATACTTTGTAAACAAATGCAACTAGCTCTGGCCTGATGGCATTTGCTCCCACCGGCAAATCATAAAGCAGCAGGAACAGGATTGCTAAAACGGGCTCTGTTAAGGGGAAAGAGTAGCTCATGGCTATGGTTCATCTTGTTTTAATATGCGGAAGGCTCTAAAATTAAATAAGGCTGGAGAATTCTGAAAAGTATATCCTAGAAGTATCCTATCTCTGGCAGGCTTTAAGAGCGGGCAAAAATCAGAAAGGGGTGGAAGATATAGCAAAAGCTTTTTAGAAAAAGGACAAAGATGAGGAGGTGTGGCTGCTTTGTCTCAGATCAGCTTTGCTGCACTAACTCCTTGAGGCCTAGGTGAAAATTCAGATATTTCCACCAAAGTCCTCTCCTCTTAGACTTGACAATGCCTTTGAAAATCTTTAATTCTAAAAATGGATGCCAGTACTCAAAGGAGGGCAGTGCTCAGTACAACCCCAAAAGGGCACTAGCTCGGTTAAGTCTAGTCTGGGGGCTCGGTCCCCATGTTTTGCCCCCAGTGGCCTGGCTCCTGAGTTGTCTCGTGTGGCTCCAGAACCCAAAGGACCCCGTCACCCAGAGGGGCAGAAGCCATCATCAAGAGACTGTTTCCAGTTCTCTGGATCCAACAGACAGGGGAACAGTCTGCCGGCTATCTGCAAATGACTTGCTCATGCAGCAGAAGCATTTCTGGGGCGATGAAAAAACACGACCAATGACATGCAACGCTCTCCTGAATCATGACAGAAACAAGGTGTCCCACTGAAGTCAGGCCTGCACTGAAGGAAGCTGAGGCCACCGATGGTTCCCCACCACACTGGGGGCCTGCACGTGGCTGGCTGGGCGCCGATTCCGACCAGAGTGCAAGGCTCTGCGGGCCTCATCTGCTGGGCCCCCCGAAGGGGAAGTGAGGCCCCTGGCCCCTCCCAGTGCTGAATCACACGGGAGAGATGCGGAAGCTCCCTTGCCAGCCAAGTTATTAACACGGAGAGGGAGCCTGCCTTTCCCAATCCTTCCTTGTTATCTGTCAGAGCTGACGATGCCGCACAAAAAAAAGATGAGCAAAATTAACAAGCAGCAGCAGCAGACCCACTACTACAAGCAAATTCCCAGCACATACCTGATCCTGCTGCTGAACAAAAAAACAGGAAATCGGAGATGACAAAAATGAGAGAAAGGAAAGGACACAACAGTTAAGAAAAAATTAAAACAACAATAATCAAGCAGTTAACCAGGTATAAGGATGTCTGTCACCAGAAGTTTAGGTGAAATGCCCTTGCAGTCACCTATCAGCAACCTACCTTGTTCCTACTATTGCATGCACATGGGGACCCTGAAAGCTACTCTCTCCTTCAAGGGTCAGACCACGCTGCCCCCAGAAGCCTGTTGGTGCACCATCCCCATGCCCCTAACACGCCACGGCAAAACACTGAGCAGCAGGTCCCCAGAAAACACGTTAGGAGGGGCTTTCCTTGCTCAGAAGCCAAGCCCACCACGCCTGCGAGGCCCTCACCTCAGACTGGGGATGAGCGGCCGGGAACAAGACACAGGGCTGCTCAAATCAGGGGCGTGTGTCCGAATATCTAATACACCCGGAGGGGTCACGGATCCCCAGCCCAGGTCTCAGGGCAATCTGCCCCCAGGTGGCCGAATGCCAGCCCGGAAGGCTGGTTTGACAATGCAGGCGTACCTCACTTTATTGAGCTTCACAGATTTTACAAATTGAAGGTCTGTCGCAACCCTGCTTCAAGCAAGTCTATTGGCCCCCATTGTTCCAATAAATAGCATTTCCTCACTGCATGTTTCTGCGTCACATTTTGGTAATTCTCACAATATTTCAACTTTTTACTGCTATGACTCACTGAAGGCTTAGATGATGGTTAATGGCTTTTAGCGATGGAGTATTTTTTAATTAAGGTATGTACATTGTTTCTTTAGACCTAATGCTACTGCACACGTAACAGACTACAGTGTGGTATACACATAACTTTTATATGACTGGGAAGCCAAAAAATTCGTTTGACTCACTTTATTGTGATATTCACTGTACTGCAGTGGTCTGAAACCAAACCTGCAGTATCTTCGAGGTAAGCCTGTGTTATTAAAAGCCCTGCCCTTTGACTCAGCAATTCCAGTCTTAGTTACCTATCTTAAGGGAAGGGAAAAAACAGGGATGCGCATGTGTATCTACTTGTCCCTGAGGAGAACAAACTCAAGGACTGTAGGCCAGTCTCAACATAGTTAGGAAGTCAGCATGACAGAGAAAAAAAGGACAACTCACCCCTCACCCACTGCAGATCAGATCTCAGGAGGCCAGTGCATCTTCCCCATGTAAGGATGCCTTCAGACCTCCCTGCCCTGTACAGTTTGCTGCCTGGATCGAGCTGGCTTCACTGTGCTTTCTGGATATTTTCTACCTCTAATAATGAAGGAATGCCCCTACCCCCTGGATGCATGAGAAGCAAGTGCAGGAGTTACGGGCTCCAGCAGCAGCTACAGCTAACACGGCTGCAGAGTGCAGGACCAGCTCTGGGAGGCGGATGCTCCCCCCTCAGAACTCAGGCTGGAAGACAGCAATCCTCAGGCCTGGCCTAGCTACATAGCAGACTATTCCCAAGGGTCCCAGAATGAAAGCCAGATGCTAGAAATCTGATGGCCAGCTCACATATGCACCGGCAAACAAACCACCAGGAAGCCAGCAGGGCAGTCCCGGGGGTCAGGCTACTTCAGCCTTTCCCCTACCTGGGGAAGGCAAGGGGGAGGTACTGAGTTGCAGGTGGACAGTCTGCTGGTCAAAGAGGGCTCATTTTGGCCCAATTCAGTACTTAAAGGTAAAAGGGAAACTAAACCATATAATTTTCAAAATCCTAGAAATCACAGTTTGAGACAAAGTAAAATGCTAACAAGGAGCTTCCCCTGCCACCTACCATATGCATCACCATTTGGATGGCAATTTCCGAATACTGGTTGATATAGTTCTTGCACTGGGGAGAGAGAAACAGACTGTTAGCGAAACTCAGTGCTACAACAACACACCAAAACCCCACCCTTTCCAACAGCGCCAACAGGTGAGTATCAAGCAAGTTTCCAAGAGTGGAATCATCAATGCCTGCTCTGGGCAAGTCTCAATAAGATAAAAAATGGCAATCTGGTTACTCCATACCTTACAGGAAAACGCGTGTGCAAAAGTGTTTTGAAAATGTTTTCCAAAGGCCCTTAGAGATGAGGTCCTCCAATCTCCTTTTATGGCCCGTACTTTCCCCGAGGTCACACGGCAACTACTCAGTGGCAGTCCCCGGGAGTGAGTGTGGCTACGAGATACACTGCCGATGGTCCGAGATTACTTTTCAAACCCGTTCACACATTCTTGGACAGGATTATAAAGTTTAAATCCAGTATAATCCAGTTAAGTTATAATGATTTTCATAAAAAATCTGGGAGCCTCTATACGTGAGAAAACAGGGTGATAGGACAGCTCTCAGAGAGGTTAACCTGGGGAAGCCAAGTGACACAGCAAATATACCAAGATACTTCAATGAGGCTAAAAGATTCACAGGCTTTAAAGAAAGTTAACAGAAAGGAACCCTTAGCTCCCAGAGCCAGCCATTCCCACCCAGAAAGGCTGCTCTAGATCCCAGGCCCACGGACTTCTTACAGCTGGCCTCCCCACGTCCAGCCTTGCAGAGGTTCATTAGTGGTCGGGTACTAAATGGCATTTTGGTTTTAGACATCAATCTCATGAGTGTGGGTAATGGGAACAGGGTCCAAGACATAAACCCCCCACGGGGCTAACGAAGAGTTTCTGAGCCTGGAGGACCAACATTCACCAAAGTAAGGAAGGCATCCCGGGTGAGCCTCTTACAAGCCAGGCGCGTGGCTTCCCCTGGGCAACCACCCTGCTGGCGGCGGGGACAGCACACCTAGAATTACGAATAGACAACAGTCAGGCCTTAGAGCCGGAACAGGGTTCTAAGTGGTTCTACTGTTGTTTCTTAAAGTTGTGGTGACTGCGAGAAAAAAGAAAAAAAAAAAAATCTTCACAAAAGTGGTCTCCTTCTCCTTCCACTATTTTGTCCCACGAGTTCTGTTACATATCCAAACTCAATTAACCAACCAGGTATTTAAGTACCCACCACATATCTGGCTGCTTTCTGGGAACTGGGAATTGTCTGAACATCTCTTCCTCAAAGCCCTCAGGCTGGAACTTGAAATGGCGCCCCAGGAAGTGAACTTTTCTTGCCTCCCCCACTGCTGTCTCCACAGCCCAGCTCCCTGGCCCAGAACGTCCTCCGATGCCTGAGGTAAGGCTCACCATGTCGGCCATGCCAGGCCCCAGGCGGTCGCACTCCTCCCTGGCGTGGTCCACCAAGGCCTCGACAAAGCTGGAGTTGGTCCTCACAGCAGTCTGCACGTCAGTCACCATCTGAATGCAGTCCTGGCAAACGTCCCCATCAGCCTAGAGACACAGGGGCAGTTGGTCTGTAAACACTGCATATTCCTAAAAACAGCTAAGAGTGTTCAGATTCCGACATGCTCGTAACTGCAGCACCAGGGGTGAGTCCCTCAACTGTTCCTAGTGTGTTTTTACAGGCTCTAAAGGGACTGACAGGTTTAAAATCAAGTGGGCATTGATTATAGTAAAGCTTAACAGGAAGGGGGAACCATCTCTGCGTCTGTTAGATATCCCGGTTCTTCAAAACCTCCATGCGCAACCATCTGAACGGTGGGTTGTGGAACTGCAGAATCAAGTAAAGGAATAAGGCCCCAGTCTGAGAGCTGTACGCACATGCCGCCCCCTTTCGTGTCACAGCTCAAACCCAACCAAAGACGGGGCCCTGGGCGGCCAGGCCCACTGCCTCACCTTGTGCTGGGGCTTGCTGTGGGGCCCGTCCTGAGGGTAGAGGAGGAGGGGCACGTTGGCCATGAAGGGAGCCACCACCTCAGCCATATCCAGGTCCGGGATCTGATTGGACTTGAGCTGCTTCTGGTGATTCAGCTCTGCCAGGTGCTTCTGAAGAGACTCACAGAGGTTGAGAGCAGAGCACACCTCCCCGGGATGGCTCTGGGGGGAAAAGAGGCACAAGTGGAAATCCTCTCCCCAGAAGGAAACAGGCCACCTGGCGCCTTCGAATTCTCCCTTTCCTCATCTCCTGGCATGACTCACGTGCGCACGCCCAGCTAACAGGCACATCTCAAACCAAACTGCCCAACCTGCTTGGCCAGCCCCACGGCTCCATTATGACAAATGGTTCCACCACCGTCCTCCTGGAGGTGCCAGCCACAAACATGGAAGACATGCCTAACTCCTCCCCTCCACCAGCAAGTCCAGTCCGTTTATCCACTAAGACCACGTGCAGCTGTCCGCCTCCACTGTCCCCATCAGATCTCACACCTGACTGTCCTGCCAGCTTCCCCTCTTGCAACTCCCAATTGGTGGGACCCAGACCAGACCAACCCCTTTGAAAAGGGATCATCTCACCTCTCCCCGTGAAACCCTCCAAGACCTCCCCGCTGCACCGACAATCCTGAAACACAGCCTGAAAGGTCTTGCGTGATGTGACCCCTGCTTTCCTTACCAAAACCTTGGTCCCATCTCAGGACACTCCTGCCCCACTGGAGGTTTTTAGGGTCCTTCCAAATTCCACAAACCTGGCTCCTTGTTCCTTGCTGAAAACCCAACCTCTGGCACATGGTTTATGCGTAACAGATATTCACTGAATGAAAGTCAAGCATCCTTGTAGCTGACATGAGTTATCAAGTCAGCACCTATAACTGTTATACCAGTTTACATTCCTTCATTAATTCTATGAGTTCCCATTTCCCATACCCTCCCCAACCCCTGAATGTTACAAGCAGAGTGGTCTGCTGTGGCAAAGCCATGCTGGACGAAAACTGTACAAAAGATCTGTTGACGAAATCTCAGTCTATGAACGGACTTTCCATTTTAGTCACTGTAATCTGGTCTGGAACCTCCCCCGGGCCCCAGAGGTGCCTTGAAGAAGAGTCTATCTATTCTCCATCACGTACCATTTGTCCTTTAATCATGTCCAGGATGACCGGGAGGTAGGAGTCGACGATCTCCTTGCAGGAGGCAGACATGTTCGGCTTAGGCAGCCAGTCGCAGGCCCTCTCCAAGTACACGAGGATCTCTTGCTAGAGGGGACAGAGGCAAGGGTCGGACCAGGATGGACTTCTTCTCCACAAACGGGCTGAAAGCAAGAGGCCCTCCACAACTCCAGAAACGTGAAGGCTAGAAACAGTGGCCCTCGGGGAAGAGGACCTGGGAGAGGGCTACTGTGGAGCCGTGGCCCTGCCAGGTCAGTGAGGCAAAAAGCAGATGCGAGCACTATTCAGAACGAAGATCCTCTGACCTGCGGTCTCACTGGCACAGGGAATTCTGAGCAGAAGTCACCAAAAATGGACCTAAAGGTTAACGGTATGTGATACAAAGTCCCGATCAACCTCGGGCATTTGACACCTAGCCCAGGAGTCAGCAAACTAGGGCCCGCGGCCCGTTTTTGTACAGCCTGAGGGTAAGAATGGTTCTTACATTTTTAAAGGATGGGGGTGGGGGACGTTACATGACAGAAGCAGTCTGTGGCCCACAGGACAGTTATTTCCGACCTGAGCCTAGACCATTCCTCGCTGGACGCCCTCAGTCACAGCTCTGTACGGAACCGATGCACGTGGCCACACGGCCACCGCTCACACGCAGTCACACACCCCGGTGGCGGCTCACCTGAGTGGCGTTGTCTTTCAACATGTCACCGGCTGCAGTGATGACATCTTTGCATATGTCGCAGGGAAGGGATTTCTAAGAGGAAGGAACACGAGGGAGAGAGATCTGTATTCGTAGGACATAACTCACACCGCACACAGCTGAAAACTGCCATGGCCACTTTCCTGTTTCATCTAACCATGGCCATCTCTGACACACTGGCACATCCTGGTCCCCCAACCTAGGTGAGAAGCACTGGACACCGCGGGGGAGGCTTAGATGTGGCTTATCACAGTACGCTGTGCTTCTACAGGATAGAAACCCTTTTCCTGTACCCTCTATACCCCTCAGCGCCTTGCTCAGTGCACACGGCACAGGCTACATTTCGCATTCATGCTCACAACAGCTCTGTGAAGAAACTGAGGCTCAAAAATCAGCTGGAACTCAGGGCAGCAGAAATCAGAGAAAATCGGTAACGTGACGGAACATCACAGAGTAAGAGGGTGCGGGCAGTGAAACAAGGCCCAGTCAGACCTCTGCACACTCCCACCAGCACTGCTGCCGGCGCTCTGTCTGCCTTCCACCTCCTGGGCAGTGCTGTGTGCCAGTGAAGGCCACACGTCACCACTGCAGAGCTCAGAGACATGACGCGAGTCTTCTAGACAAGCCTGGCATCCCTACATGGCCCAGGACCACGGAAATTCTAGCCAGTCCTCAAAGCTCTTGGGGCGCTCCCTTCTTTATGTCAACCAATTTTCAACCCATGAAGAAGGAACTAACACATCTGGGTGAGATTAAGGAACACCTGTGAATTTAGCTGCATTTACAGAAACCGCCTTGAACCTTCGGACCTAATCAGGCTAATACCGTGCATGCGGCCACTCAGGTTACATATGCCTTTTTTCCAGTATCGTAAACTTATGATATCGTGAATTTGTGCATGATGCCCGAGAGGTTCCGGTATCCACGAGACTGTCCTGTCAAGAGAGAAAGATCTAAACTGCCCCTGTGATACATTAAACTTCAAAAGAGGAAGCAGTATTAAAAACAAGATCAGAAGCAAATTAGAAACCAAATCTTAAAGTAATTTTGGCCACAGAGAGTGGTTTAAGACAGTGAATTCAGAAAACTAATAGAGCAGTGTTACTGAATTAATTCTTCTTCTCTTACTGAAGGAGTACTAGTGGCCAGCGACAAGTTTTAGACCTCAAGCTCCACACAATCAATCCTGCCTTGGACCACAGGCTGAAGCACATCCCAGAGCAAACAAACAGCACTTCCTGTAGTCCCCTGGCCCAGCCAGCAGAGCTCGGGCGTCTCCTGAGAGGACTCAGGTTGCGTGGAGTATGCACCTGAGGTCTGTCATCTTAAGAGTATTCCCCATATTAATGTGCTATATTTATCACTGTTTAGATGAAAAATCAGTGGCATCTTTTCCAGTCTGGCTATAGCTGGAAATAAAATTTAAGATAGCTACCAAGCTCTAGGGTCTGAATCAGTGATCTGCCTGTTTAAAAGACAAAAATACCAAAAAGGGGGGAAAGGATTTCAAAAGCTTAGCATCTACTTTGAGTGAATGACCAAGGACAGAGCTGTACCCGTGTGCCCTGTCCTGGGAATGGGAGCTACACCTGCCGGTCCCTTATGTGGGGTAGAGAGGTGGGAGCTGCATCTGGAGGGCAGCATGAGGCACGCGGTGGAGGACAGGCAGGACCTCCCCCTATCTGTGCCACCAGGACACTGGGCGGCCTTGGGGGAATGGAGCCTCCCCGCTCCAGCCCGCCACTCCTCCGCATGGGTACCCCCACCCACAAACAGGTCTCAGGTTCACCAGGAAGAACAAACAAAAGGAAGCAGGAGAGAGCGCTCCGTAAAGGGCAGCAGTTACAGAAGGCACAGAGGCCCAGCAGTCGGAGGCACTCACCACGGTCGGCTTGTTCCAGACGGTCTGCAGGCAGTGCTGCACGGCCCCGCAGTCAGACGCCGTCTTCACGTTCTGGCACCACACGGCCGAGCCTCGGGTACATTCTCTCAGGCCCAGGACGGGGCTGGCGAGAGCTGCAAGCGGAATCAGCGTGAGGATGCGGCCCATTCCCACATACCAGGCCCACCTCACTTGCTTCCCCAGCATCAGGGGCCTTGGCATTTTGCAGGACACTAGGCTGGCCCCTCACCAGCTGTATGAGCCACAGAGCCAAGGAGCTGCGTTGTCACATCATATGTCACAGGGCTGAGAGGGACTAATCTACCTGGTTCACCGTTTTCCTCTCACACTATTTTTAAACAGTATCAGACAGATCAGTCCTTTTAATCTTTACCATCTTAAATTTCCATGAAGTAATGAAAGAAATCAAAAGAGAAAAGACTGGCAGGTTTAAAAATAGAAGATTTTAACTTCTGTAAAAATGAAAAATGGCCAAAGTTAAAAAAATTGTAATGAGGCCTTCCCTGGTGGCGCAGTGGTAGAGAGTCTGCCTGCCGATGCAGGGGACACGGGTTCGTGCCCCGGTCCGGGAAGATCCCACATGCAGCGGAGTGGCTGGGCCCATGAGCCATGGCCGCTAAGCCTGAGTGTCCGGAGCCTGTGCTCCACAGCGGGCAGGGCCGCAACAGTGAGAAGCCCGCGTACGGAAAAAAAAAAAATTGTAACGAGAACACGAAGAGTCATATCCTCATTACATAAAACAATGGCTTTTAATGTTGTTCTAGTAGAAGAGACCTTTTATAATCAACTGGGTGAGTTTCTGCACATAAACAAGTTTGCTAGCAAAAAAACAAAACTACATAGCCTGGATATCACAAAGTGTAGGTATGTCCATTCGAAACCAATTGCACACACGGAGTTTCATCTATGGTGTAACAAGGAAAGGACTCGGGCGGAAGTCACAACCACAGAAATGGGATTAGGGGAAAAAAAAAACAGAAGAAAGGTTCAAGTCACCTGGAACCAAAGAAATGCAGGTTAAAGCAAGAAGGTACCATATTTATAAAGTCAAAATAATAGCCAACGGAAAACAAAAACAAAAAACCTTACCACCAAATAGTGATAAATTTGTGGAAAAAGATGCATTCTTATAAGGCTGACAGCAGTGTGACTAGTAAGTACTTCTCAAAATATATTAATATATTTCAAGAACTGAGGGGAAAAAAATCCCTCTTCAAAAATCCACTTCTAATAAAACATTTTAGGGAAATCCAGTAATTCAAGAGGTAAAATACAGTATGCCTAAGTGTGTATATATATTAAGTCAAATTCACGACATTAAAAAAAGGCAGATGTAACCCGAATGGTCAACACTAGAGGGAAAAGACTAGTGATATTCTCACCAAAATATTATGCAGGGGCTTCCCTGGTGGCTCAGTGATTAAGAATCCGCCTGTCAATGCAGGGGACATGGGTTCGAGCCCTAGTCTGGGAAGATCCCACATGCCACGGAGCATTTAAGTCCGTGCGCCACAACTACTGAGCCCGCACTCTAGAGCCCACAAGCCACAACTACTGAGCCTGTGTGCTGCAACTACTGAAACCCATGCCCCTAGAGCCCATGCTCCGCAGCAAGAGAAGCCACCACAGTGAGAAGCGCGCGCACACACACACACACACACACACACACACACACACACACACACCATGGGCTACAACACATGGAGGGCGGCGCAGTGGTTGACAGTCCTCCTGCCGATGCAGGGGACACGGGTTCGTGCCCTGGTCCGGGAAGATCCCACAGGCCACGGAGCGGCTGGGCCCATGAGCCATGGCCGCTGAGCCTGTGCGTCCGGAGCCTGTGCTCCGCAACGGGAGAGGCCACAACAGTGAGAGGTCCGCGTACCGCAAAAAAAAAAAACTAGAAGGAAGGAAAGGAAATACTGTTATTACTTTACTAGCTATTCAAGACTAGCTATAGTTCGACAAACTGTTCATGCAGACACGGAGTCACAGGTCCCCAGAAAGCTCAAGCCAGATGATCTGCGCCCCTTCAGACACCACCACACAAATTCTTAATCTGCCCAGATTACAGTCTTCTCTGCCCTTTGGGGAGCAAAAAAATCACAACCCACAACCAGTTCATGAACTCAACAGAACTGGCCTCATTCCAAAAGCTGTTGGTTTGATTTGGTCTCTGTGGGTGAACATGTGCCCGATTCATAACAGTAGCACACTCCCCAGATGGTTAACCATAACGTAGCCGAGCTAGGCTGCGGCCTTCAGCCGTAGGTCCCGGGAGGTCAGAGGGGAGCAGGAGTCCCGTCACGAGGGCAAGGGCTCTGAGGAGTGAGGGGGTCACAGAGCCAGCCCCAGACCTGGCAGCTCCCAGCAGCGCTTCCCACGCTCCTCTCAGGCACTGGCCTCCCAGTTCCCCTGAACAGTACCCACTAAGTACATCGCCTGCTTCTACATCTGAATTAGGAGCTCGAATTATGAACAGGAGGCTACAGAATGAGTCTCTAGGCAAAGGAACATACAGAGATACACAGTGACGCCGGAAGGATGGACCTCGGCAGATAAAAGCAGGGCTCCCTGCACAAGGCCTGACCACCACTCTCCATCCTTACAAATACTCAGTCTAGGGATTTTCTCCAAACTTCCAGCCAGGAACCGGCTGTAACTGACCAAAATCTATCAGGTTTCCCCGAACACAATGCACTATCACAGGCCCAAGCTGCAAGAATACTTTGTAACTTGTTTACTCCCCCTAGGAACTTGAAACAGTAATCACCTGCTATAAAGACTTGTTACTTGTTTTGGCCAGGCTATTCTGGACCAAAAATGTAGCCCCTTCTATCTGAAATTGGTCCAGCTACTGCAGAACCCAAGGTCATTTCCCAATCCTGACAGTTGCTGAATGGTAACAAGCCCCCACCTCAGAACTAGAGGTAAAATATATGCCTGGTGGCCAATCTGGCAGACCTAAGAGGTCACCCAATCCAAGCCTAAAACGGACTTCAGGGACACTAAGAAATGAAAACTGAAGTCCCAGCTCCCAGAAATTCAGTTCTCACCAAGACCTCCCCATTTACCTCCAAACTAAAGCCAAATTTATAAAGGTGCATGTTATTAAAATGGTCTGTGGTGCGATTTCCTAAGATGACCCGAAACAACTGCGTGTCCTCAGGGTTGGTAATGAGGCTGAAACAAGCCTGGTGATGCCAAGTGCGTGACCTGCTGAGAGGTTCAGGGGCTTATTTCGGGAGCCGGTCTCCTGAGAGGGAATCAAACAGTGGGTCAGAACACGTTTGGAACATAGATCCCTTCCTCAGAAAACGTACTAATACACAAAACCCTCACACCACTTCAGGGGGTTCTCAACACCTGTCCAGGGACTCCAGCTGGGGACTGAAAGCTCTCGGGGTAAGCATGGTTTTTCTCCACAGAAGTGGGAAAACAACTAAGATGAAGACGCAATTATCAACTCTATTGACCGCGACAAGCAGTGCTTTCAGGTGGGAGGGACAGACACAGGAATAATGGTGCTGCGTTAGCAGAAACACAGAGCTGCAAGGAGAATGCCCAACTGTTCCGGGGTGCCGGAGGTGGCTTCTTCAAAATGAAAATTGAACTGGCACCTGAAAGAGGGCAGCTGAAAGACTGGTGGGGCGGGGTGGGGGGAGGGGGATTCCTGAACATTCTGAGGGAGAGCAGTGATCTTTGCTGAAGAGAAAGAACACTTTTGTCTTTTCAGGAGCGGGGCTCCAGCAGACCTCAGGCCCACTGGAAAAGGCCCCACCAGGCACTCATCCCTTGTGATGAGTGTCGCCCATGGTCCATGCTGTGGGCAACAGCTCGTGTTAGTGTCACCCAGTTGTGATGTGGCAGAAACGAGGGGGAGGTGGGGAGATCCAGATGATGGGCACCTAAATGGAGTGGAAGGCTCATCCCAAAAGGCTGAGCAGGGACAGCAAGGGCTGAAGACGACAGCTGGGAAAATGAAACTCTCCGGGTTAAATTTAAATGTGAAGTCTGTTGGGCTGAAAGAAAAAGCAGGGCAGCAAAAGCCAACAGCACAAGGACAGAGGTGGGGCTCAGAAGCTGCGGCGTGAGTGGACACAGGCAGGCAGAGCACACCTGCGCACCCTGCTTCCCGTGGGACAGTGACAAGCGCAGGTCGGAAGGCGAGGCCCTTAGGAGACTGCAGATGTTTAGCTGGGAGAGAGAAGGTTTCCGGGATAAGCACAGTTATCTTCACAGGTGAAGGACACCTTCCACCTCTGACATGGGGGTGGATCTGCTCTGGGTGGTGGCTTCAGATCCCAGACCTCAGAGCGGTGGGTAGAGGTGAAGGGAAGCAGACCACAGCTCAAGGTAAGGAACATACTTAACACCCACAGGCTATAAAAGGGGAATCGCAGGCTTCCCTGGTGGTCCAGTGGTTAAGACCCCACGTTCCCACTGCAGGGGACACGGGGTTTGATCCCTGGTAGGGAATTAGGGTCCCACATGCCACACGGCACAGCCAGAAGAAAGAAAAAAATAAAGGAAACCTGTGAGAGATTAAGCAAGTTCTAACTAATAAGTGCAGAGTCTCAACTTGAAGTCAGAGTTCTCACTCTGAAGCCTGAACTGTCCTCTAACCATTAAACTGATGCTTAAAAAAAAACACACACAAAAAAAAGAGAATGAGTTGGCTTGTTATGTGATGACCTCTACAAGAGTGGGAGCAACCAAGCAGAAATGAAATGCCCAACCTAGACGGATTCTGTGTCAGAGGGATCCTGAGTGGTGAGCGGGGCTAGAAGACCTCTAGGGGCTACAAAAGTCTTCACTGTTACAATAATGAGGCAAATGACATTTTCAGTATTTACACATAACCAATATTAAAATTACCCTAACCTACGTTCTTATGAGTTATTTCTCAAAACATCTTCCCAGCAAAGCTTTCACCTCTATTTTCATCTTCCCACACTGCCCCCAAAAACCAACTTCCTTCCCTGAGGCGACAGGCTGAACTCTAAGACAGTTCTTAGAATGTCTGCCTGACACCCTGGAGATTTCTGATTAAATTTGTCCTATTAAGAAGGATCACTGCTCAGGGTAAGGCGAGCACTACACTTCTTAGTTC